GATATTATCATAGTTCTTTCATCTTATTTAATTGTATGACAATTATCATGGGTAATAAGAATGAATTATGATTATTTTGAGGTTTTGTAACTATTTTAATCTGTTGTTAAGAAGATTAAATGTTTCATCAATGTCAGAACAAAATGCATAAATTGGTGTTGAGTGAATTCTACAAGTCCAAAGGTAGATTTCATGTTCCAAAAGCCACCAGAAATTTATTGTACGATCCTAGTAAACATAGCATCTGTCATCACGTTTCGCCCACAAAATTTACAGTCAAGTAAATTTACAGTGTATTCTGTGAGATGCTTTGAGACGTCTCAATGACGTGATAAGGTGCTATATCAAATGCAAGGATTAGCATCACTATTCTCACTAATATTGTATTAGTCTCCTGGCAAGATAATTTCTTTTCACCTTTTCTCTGTCTCTTGTAAATTGATTCACAAGCTTCTGTAGGATGTGAATAAAACGTTCTTCATTCAATCCCTTAGTAAAGACCATTAAAGTCCATTTTTATTCAAGAGCATATTTATACTGACACAAAATGGGAGAAAATCGGAGCAGGGGAATTTAATGCAGAAAAGTATAAATTTGGTGAAAATCAGAATTTTCTTTTTGAAAATTTGTTTAACGGCATTTAACAGTGTGTTGCAAACATATTCCCAGAACCGATCTACCTGTGTACGCATGTATTTCGGGAACCAGAAGTACAGGAATGTGAGTTTGGGTTTGTGTGAGTACCATCGGGGACTCTGGGGGAAAAAATCAGCAAATTAAATTCTTAAAAATGAAATTCAAATGAAAATTGTTTTTTTACAGATTGACTTTCACCCCCAGAATTAAGTATTTATTAGTGAAAATCAGTAAATGGTCCTTAATTAATGGCTAATAGAGCCTTCGTTCGCCTGCATTTGAAAGTTATTTGGCAGAGTTGTCAAATAATTCATCACTGTTCAGTGCCAAACTGACAGATCACTGACTGTGTTTATCTGCACAGATGCTTTACTCTATTCTCATTAAAGCCCCCAACTCACTCTGCTCCATTGCTCCCCGTCCCCCAGCAGATCAAATTTCTCAAGTTCAAATACCTTTCTAATTTTCAAATGCTTTGCCACCCCCTACATATTTGACCCCCTGTAAAGTATTCTGGAGCCAGTCACTCCCCTGAGGCTCAGGGAATGTATAGATAATAGTATCAGTCAAGGACAGCATAGGGTGTCTGACAGGCAGGAGGTTAAGAGAACACCAGAGAGAGTGTAGTGAAGCCTCAGGCTTTAACCTTGGCCAACAGGTACGAGATCCTGGCAACCTGTGTGAACAAGGAAGCCTGTGAGGAGGAAGGAAAATGTGATTCCAATATTTGGGGAAACAAACAGAAAGTTGTAGTAATTGGGGACGAGACTATCAGGCGGACAGATACACTTATCTGCAGCTGCAACCAGGAGACTCGAAGGCTCTGAGATCGGTGGTAGGGAAAATTCTAGAATTCTTAATTAAGGATGTCGTAGTGGGATACTTACGATGAGACAAAGTCAACATGGCTTTACAAAAGGGAAGTCATGCTTAACAAATCTTTTAGATTTTTTTGAGGACATATCAAGTAGATTAGATAGGGGGGAATCAGTGGATGTAGTGTATTTAGATTTCCAAAAGGTATTTGATTCCAAAAGGTTGATCCACAAGATTAGGGCCCATGGAATTAAGGGGAATATATTAGCATGGATTGAAGAATGGATAACGGGAAGAAAACAAAGAGTAGGGATAAACGGGTCCTTCTCAGATTGGTGGGATGTGACTAGTGGAGTGCCACAAGGATCAGTGCTTGGGCCTCAACTATTTACAATCTACAACAACGATCTAGATAAGGATATTGAACTTAATATATCCTAATTTGGGGATGACACTAAACTAGGAGGGAGAGTAAACACCGAAGATGAGATTAAAAAAATGCAACGAGATATAGATAGGGTAGGTGAGTGGGCAAATAGGTGGCAGATGAAGTATAATGTAGGGAAGTGTGAAGTCATCCACCTAGGTGGCAAAAACAGTAGAGCAGATTATTTTTTAGAAGGGGAGAGACTAGATAGTGATAGCTTTCAGAAGGACTTGGGTGTTCTTGTACACCAGTCACAAAAAGTTAGTTTGCAGGTGCAGCAAGCAATTAGGAAGGCTAATGGTATGTTGGCATTTGCTACAAAAGGGTTAGAATATAAGAGTAGGGAAGTCTTGCTGCAACTGTGTAGGGCCCTGGTGAGACCGCATCTAGAGTATTGTGTGCAGTTTTGGTCTACTTATCTAAGAAAGGATGTATTCGCCTTGGAGGGGGAACAACGTAGATTCACTAGTTTGGTACCTGGGATGAGGGGGATGAGTTATGAGGATAGGTTGAGCAATTTAGGCCTATATTCTCTAAAATATAGAATGAGAGGTGATCTTATAGAAACCTATAAGATTATTAAGGGGCACGACAGAATAGACAGTGGGAGACTTTTTCCTCTGGTTGGAGAAACTATAACCAGGGGTCACGGTCTTAAAATTAGGGGTAAGCCCTTTCGCACTGAGTTGAGGAAAAACTTCTTCACTCAGAGGGTAGTGAATTTATGGAATTCTCTACCCCAAAGGGCTGTAGATGCCCAGTCCTTGAACATATTCAAGACTGAGATTGATAGATTTCTTGTGGATAAAGGGATTAAGGGATATGGGGATAAGGCGGGTACGTGGAGTTAAAATAGATCAGCCATGATCTTATTGAATGGCGGGGCAGGCTCGAGGGACGAATGGCCTACTCCTGCTCCTAATTTTTATGTTTTTATGTAACTCTATGGCTGCTCTGTTTGCTCAGTGAACAGCCAGCCTGCTCATGTCCCTCCTGATCGTCCCCACCACTGGTGGCCAAGTGTTTCGCTATTCTACTCCCATTCTCCAGAACTCCATCCCAAAGTCTCTCAACTTTACTTTCTGCCTTTAAAGCCCACCTTAAGATCTATAGTTTCAACCAATCAGCTGTATCAAGTGCTTTTAAACATCCTCCCAATGTGAGAAAGGCTGTACATAAATTAAAATTATTGTGTTACTCTTAAGAAGCTAGTCTAGAAGAAGCAGGTTCTCATGACAGGCATCAAGGAAACTCTTCCCTTTGAAAATATGTAATGCCAAATGGAAATGTTTTATCTGGTGATGATAAGCCAACAGTTTTAACCAATGTGTCTTTTTTTAACTATAAATGCTTCTGTGTAAGCTTGCTGAGAGAGCATTTTTTTTGCTATTTGCATCTACTAATCAGCACTGGCAAGGAGAGTATATGCCAAATAATGTCCATTTGTAAAATTGATTGTAAACTGTGATATTTTATTCCTCAAGTTACCCCTTGTTTTAAGTTCTCAGGAATTAACCTATCTAAGTTGAAATTGTCTCAGGAAATCCTAGTTTTGATGTTTTATCTCCCATCTGACATTTTTGTGATTGAAAGAAAACATCAGTTAGTAGATGTTGACGGAGCATCACCCTTTTGTGTACATAAGATAACCTATTTATTAGCTGACATCCCAGGGCAGTGCTGGTGGTTGCTGATTTGTCAGAGGTGGACCTGTCCTTCTCATGTTAAACTGAGGCTCTGTGGAGTTGTTCAAGTGTACATTAGTGGCACTATTCAAAAGGAGAAGGGAATTTCTCCTGGTGTGCTCGCCAATGGTATCTAACAATCCAGTGCAGTGCTGAGTGGGTGTTGCATTGTTAGAGGTGACATTAAACTGGGGTCCTGTCTGCCTATTCAGCTGGATGTAAAGATCCCAAGGCACTATTCAAAAATAGATGGGCATATCTCCCTTTGTCCTGGCCAACAATCCCCCAATAAAATTGGTCATTCGCTTCATTTCTGTTTGTGCGACATTCCTCCTGACAAATGGCTACCACGTTTGCCTGAAAAACACAGACACTGCACTATACAGTATAGCCTGTGAAGTGCTTCTTCCTAGTGTGAAAGGTGCTGCACCAAATGCAAGGATTATTATTAATAACTTAATATTAATAAATAATAATAACTTGTGCTTCTTTTAGAAACAAAATTTTAGGTAAATTTATGACTTAAAAAAGGTTTTTAAATATATTGGGTAAATCCATGACCAAAAATGACTGAAGCTATTTGAGACGTCTCAACAACATGATAAGACGCTATATCAATTGCAAGGATTATTATTCATTATTTAAAAAGGTTAATAAATTGGGTAATGGATATTTTTCCCTTATTTTCATCGATAGCTGGACAGAACACACTATGGGAGGTCAGTTTGGAACCTAGGAACACGAGTAGGCCTGTCAAGTCTGGTTTTATTAGATCTTGGCAGATATTTTAATCCCTTTTTTCCAAACTTGCCTGAAATGTAGATTCTGAGAATCCCAGCACATAACAACAGCAAACTACATTTATATCGCACCTTTCATATCAGGGGGATGTCCCAAGGCTCTGGACAGTAAAGGGTTTCAAATTTGGTATATATATGTGTGTGAGGTTGAAAAAATAAAATCTTAGATTGCCTGTTATATTTATAATCATACTAATTTGAAAAATGATTAATCTCCACATAAAATTCTGTCTCTGGGCCCATCATTCATTTTTCTTTCTAACCTGGCATTTGCTTGGAATGATTTTGTTTGCTGTGAATATTCCAAGCACATGTATTTCTAAATAAGATTTATCCCATAAGATCACTGCAGTTATATTGGGAGACATTTCAAATTGCTTCACAGGATTTACTGTAAAGTGTAGTGCCTGTGTATGTTGTAGGTAAATGCCTACATATTATAGGTTATTAGTTTCAAAACCTACTTTGTTGGAAAGTAAATCTTAGCAGTCTGAAAATATGCCAAAAGTATATTTTATGGTAGAAAGAATAATTGTCTAGTACTTCAAAATGTGCACATTTCTTTGTATTTAATTAAGTAAATATTTGTTTTTTGTTTTGAACTGAAAGCCTATTTGAAAGTGTATTTGGCAATAGTTTCTTGCAGACATGGAGAACAACCTGCTGTTCAGGGATGATATTGAATGTCAAAAGCTCATCATGGAAGCAATGAAATACCACCTGCTACCAGAGCGGCGGAACATGATGCAGAGTCCTCGCACTAAACCTAGGAAGTCCACTGTTGGTGTGCTGTTTGCTGTTGGGGGAATGGATGCAACCAAAGGTGCCAATATTATTTATAATTGCTTTTTGTATTGTGGGCGCAGGCCATAGAGCATGTCCGAAGACTTCTACTAGTTATTTGATAACCTTTCACTTTTTCCCTTAATCCCCAAAACTGTTTCAGCTGTGTTTCTCCTTAACTGGTGATATTTGCAGCACTTCCTAGCAGGGTTTAAGTTGCCAGTGCTCAATTACTTGTGTTAATCCTTTTAACAAGCCTCTTTCCAATGTTTAAACTTCTTGTCTGGGGAAAATAAAAATCGATAGTTTAAAGAAAACACAGTTGGATGAATAAACACTGTTGGAATGCTGGGAAATCAAATCAATGGTCGTGTTTAGCAGTCATTCCCATCCTCAAAACCTGATGGTAAAATCTTTAGAAAACAAGTCAATCTAATTAGATTTTTTTAAAAATTGGAAAATGTATATTTAAATACGTAAAGCCAATGAGATTAACAGATGATTTTTAAATATCACTGTAGCATTGATGGCAGTAGAGAGCAGTTATCTGCCAAGGCCAAGGGTGTAGCACCCATTTGTGGGGATATTACAGGTTTTAAAAATTGATCAGTCAGCATCTGACACATGGGGAAACCGAGCATAAAAGTATCCATTCCAGATGGCGAATGCCACATATGGAACCTAAACATGGAAATTTCCCTGTGTATGGAATGGAATAGAGGATAGCATTTTATTTAATATGCAAATATCTGTTTTTACCACTAATGTGTTCATACATTGCCACATTTCCCCACATCTCCATGAACATTTTCATGCCAGAAGGGCTCTTTAATGTTTTTTGTGCACTAATTTGGTTTCTATTGGTTTGTATTATGTACAGGTGCCACAAGTATTGAAAAATACGATCTTCGTGCTAATACATGGACACATGTGGCAAATATGAATGGGAGACGGCTACAGTTCGGTGTGTCAGTTTTGGATGATAAACTTTACGTTGTGGGTGGTAGAGATGGACTGAAGACATTAAACACTGTTGAGTGCTACAACCCAAAGACTAAAACCTGGAGTGTGATGCCTCCTATGTCTACACATAGACATGGCCTTGGTTGGTAGCAATAAGTTTGGGCTAAGATTGTAAAACCAAAACATAGGGGGAGGGTCTCTTCCCGCTCAGTTACAAAAACAGCAACTTGCATTTATATAGCATACTTCACCAAGCCAGTCAGGAACCTAGGTGTCTTGTTCGACCCTCAACTGTCTTTTCTCCCCCACATCCAAGCCATGACCCGCTCTGCCTTCCCTCACCTCTGTAACATCGCCCGACTCTGCCACTACCTCAGCCCTCAGGCCGCTGAAACTCTTGTTCATGTCTTCATCGCCTCCAGGCTCGACTATGCAAACGCTCTGCTTTTCGGCCTTCCCAACTCCTCCCTCCACAGGCTGCAGATAATCCAGAACTCTGCAGCCCATGTCCTCTACCGCACCAAACTCCGTGACCCCATCTCCCCCATTCTTGCCCAACTCCATTGGCTCCCTATCCTTCAGAGGATCCAGTTCAAGATCCTGGTCCTCACATACAAAGCCCTCCATGACCTCGCCCTACCCTACCTCTGCGACCTCCTAACCCCCTACCATCCCGCCCATTCCCTCCGCTCAGCCGACTCTGGCCTGTTCCACGTCCCCCGACCCACCCGCCCCACCATTGGCGGGGGAGCCTTCAGCCACTCTGCCCCCAACCTCTGGAATTCCATCCCCCAATCACTCCGCCTCTCCCCTTCCTCAGTCTTCTTCAAGTCCTGCCTCAAAACCCTCCTCTTCGACCATGCCATCGGCCACCCCCCTTCCCCTCCCCCCTCTGACCCCAGTTCGTGTCTGAAATACTGTACTCTGTCCAGCGCCTTGGGACGTCCTCCCAACCTGAAAGGCTCTATACACATGTAATCTTGTTGTTGTTGTTCACGCCAGCCGGCGTCTCACAACACTTAAATCCCGTTAACAGCTCCTGTTAACCCTCAAAGCCAAAGCCCTAACGGGCAGGATGGTCCTAACTGGACAAGCAGTGGGAAAGCTTGCCAGACACATTTGTTTTGTAACAGAAGATAAAGAACAGATGTTGCATTTCTGTCCCTGTGTGATTTGTTTCCATGTTAATATGGCAGCTCTTGTTGGAAGAAAAATAATGTCAGTCCCCAACATAAATGCAAGTGATTTAAGATAGTACACGATGGGGACAGGAGAGAATTTACTCTAGTTTGCTCTCTAGCAGAGAGGGGATGGAACCTGACATAAAGGGGAAATGGATGTTGAGAGAATTTGCTCATTGCTAAAATGTTTTCTAGGTTTCCCAAATAGTTGCTATTTAGTGTTTTTAAGATATTCTGTTTATTTCTAGGTGTGGCAGTGCTGGAAGGTCCTATGTATGCTGTGGGTGGACACGATGGCTGGAGCTATTTAAACACAGTGGAGCGATGGGACCCTCAGGCTCGGCAGTGGAACTTTGTAGCTAGTATGTCCATGCCACGAAGTACCGTTGGTGTAGCAATACTTAATGGAAAGTAAGAAGAAGTTGTGGATATATTTTATGCACTTTATTCATTTGCTGCATAAGTGTAGGAGAATGCAGAAATGTTTTGCCGAGGATCTTTTTGTCGGCACTATAATAATTTGCAGAGTTTTTTGGAAAGAAAAGAGCTTACTTCAAAATAGTTCACAATTATCACTACATTAGTGTAAATCTATCCAAATAAATTATTTTAACATGTTTACACACAATATACAGTATATGTTTGTGTAGTCCAAAAAGAATACATTAAAATATTTACTACTACATTTTTAAATGCATTTTAAAACTGAAACTCCCGCTACCATTTTTTTCTTTATCTTTGGATTAAGTTTAAGTCCACACATTTGAAGAAATTGGCCGGGAGAAGAAATTAGATAAGAAAGTATTCCTTTTAGAATTTCTTTCCTTGGGAGTGCAGTTGCTATAGAGACACTAGCTAGTGGAGCTATTTTTGATTAAAGCTGTAAGGAGAGAAATGGGTTGTGTGGGCACTGTATTTGCCTCTTAAGAACAAGCAATTTGAATGAATTGGCTATTAGCATTATTAGGTATGTACCACAGCAACATCAAATTGCATTTATATAGCACCTTTCGCATCGGGAGGATGTTCCAAGGAATATGTGTTATTCAAAATCCAGTGTATTTTATCGCTGAATAGACTAAAAGATGCATGCATGAGTAATGAAAACAATTATACTTGCTTTCTCAGCCAACACTGGCTCCAAGCAATGATTTTCAACATAAAAACTGAAAATGTTGAAGGGAAAAGGCAGTTTTATGTTTCAAGCAAGAACCATCACCACTTCTGTATATTTTCTGTTTAATTTTAGATTTTATTTAATTTCGAGTTGTTCCAATTATCTGTCCTGAATTCAAAGAAATTATCCATCATTGTCTAGAAAGTTGAAAGACTTCATTAGTATTGGCAAAACACAAAATACTGCAGATGCTGGAAATCTGAAACAAAAACAGGAGTTGCTGAGACCTGCAGCAGGTCAGGCAGCATTTATGGAAGGAGGAAAGTGAGTCAAGGTTTTGGGTCCATTCTGACGTTCTGAAGGGTCGTGGACCCAAAACGTTGACTCACTTTCCTTTCTCCATAGATGCTGCCTGACCTGCTGAGTGTTCCCAGTGACTTCTGTTTTGGTTTCATTAGGTTTGGATATTTTCTAGGATCTTCAAATAACAGAGATGTATCTCATTTAATTTTAAATGCAGGGATTAACACATTAATCGTCTTGTGCCTTGATCATCTATTGTGCCAATTTAAAATGTATTCTTGAAGTACACCTTCTCAAATTGACTCTACCCAGGATGGTAGGATCCCAAGAGGGGAAGAGAAGCAAAGAGATCTGATGATCCAGATTCATAAGACTCTTAAAAGTAGCAGCGCATATGGACAAACCTTTAAAAAATATAAATTGAGTCCTCCGCTTTATGTCTAGAGGAATAGAGTATAAAAGTAGGAAGCTAATGCTAAATTTATGTAAAACCTGTTAGACCCCATTTGTGGAGTCCTGTAGCTCAGTGGTTAGGGCACTCGCCTCGCGAGCGAAAAACTGAGTTTGATTTCCAGGCAGGGCAAAACCTTGGGCAAGTTTCCTTACTACACATGCCTCTGTTTATCTACTTTTGTTTTTACCTAAGTTGGAACCTGGTTGTTAGTCAATTGGGGGATCGCTTTCCGGGGGTGATAATTTGTGGATTGAGTGAGCAATTTTTTTTTGAAGAAATTATTAGCTTCTGGAAATGAATGAGCAAATAGCATTCGTTGTTTTCCAGCGTTCTGCAGGACTTCTGGGTTTACATATTTAGTACTGATTGTAGTTGCAATTAAAGTATAGGATGTAAGCGATCATAACCAATAAGGTATCTAAAGAATTACAAGGAAAAAATCTCGCCTCTGTTATCTGAACTTCTTGTGTGGCTAGAACTAGAAATTCACCATGTTCAGAATCATACAGGTAAATTGTCTTGTTATTGTATATAGGCATTGCATCAAGTATTGATTGCAGATTCTGAACAATCAATATGTTTTAATGCTCAAACACTCAGACTTGTATTGGAGATTTGGTGTTTTTTTTTACAGACTATATGCTGTTGGAGGTCGAGATGGAAGTTCTTGTCTGAAGTCTGTAGAATGTTTTGATCCCCACACGAACAAATGGACCCTTTGTGCACAGATGTCTAAGAGACGGGGAGGCGTGGGAGTTGCTACCTGGAATGGCTTCTTGTATGCTATTGGAGGACATGATGCACCAGCATCTAATCTCACATCAAGGCTGTCTGACTGTGTTGAGAGGTAAAAGCAACTGCTATTTCTCTTGGGAGGAAGTATGTTTCCACTTCATCTCCACAAACAGCCTATCCTCTAGCCCCCACACCATCTCGTGCAGACTTCCTCAGGGCTCTGTCCTTGGTCCCCTCCTCTTCAATATCTGTATGTTCCCTCTTGGTGACATCATCCACAGACATAGGGTCAACTTTCACATGTATGCGGATGACACCCACCCTCGACTCCAGGACCACTGCTGTCCTGACAGAGTGTCTGTCAGACATCAAGTCCTGGATGAGAGTTAACTTTCTTCAGTTGAACGTCAACAAGACCGAGGCTCTCCTGATTGGCTCTCGTCAGCGCCTCCTCACCTCACTGAGCCGGTCCAGAACCTTGGCGTCTTGCTTGACCCTCAACAATCCTTTCTACCCCACATCTGCGCTATGACTCGCTCTGCCTTCCCCCACCTCCACGACATTGCCCAGCGCCACTGTCTCATTCCGCAGGCCAACGAGACCCTTATACACGCATTCATGACATCCAGGCTTGTCTAACCAAACTCCCTGCTTGTCGACCTCCCCAAGTCCCTCCATAGGCTGCAGATCATGCAGAACTCTGTAGCCCGTGTCCTCCCTGGCATCAGGCTCAGTGACCCTATCACCCCCATCCTCGCCCGACTCCACCGGCTTCCCATCACACAGAGGATACAGTTCAAGATCCCAGTCCTCACTTTCAAGACCCTCCATGGCCTTTCTCCCCCCTACGTCTGCGATCTCCTAACCCCCCTACCAACCTGCCCACTGCCTCTGCTCAGCGGGCTCTGGCCTGCTCCACGTCTCTCGCCTCAATTACCCCACCATTGGCAGGCAAACCTTCAGCCACTCTGCCTCCACCCTCTGTAACTACATCCCAAGTCCCTCCGCCTCGCCCCCTCCCTTGCTTCCTTCAAGACCCGTCTCAAGACCCTCCTTTTCGATTTTAAGTTAAAATCCATCTGTGCATATGGGCAAAGAAGACTAAACTTCAGGGAAAAGCAATCTGGTAACTTGGAAGTAGATTGACATTGAATTTCTAATTTAGATAAAATATTTAAACTAGTCTTAGTGGAGAAAAAAGATTAGACTGAACAGATTTGTCTTAAAAAATTATTACTATGACTCTCTTTATCTCTGTACATTTTTTGACAGCCAAGTGTCTGACACATACAGAAACCCATCGAAATGCTTAACATTATCAAACCAAACTGAGTGTTCCATGCATCTCACCTACACATGGAAAATCCCTTGTATTGGAGTGGAATGTGCACTCCCTGGAGGGGCACATCCAACTTAACTCATTCCAGAGAGTATTAGGCGCAGACTGGCAAGAGCCAAGGTTTGATGACTCCAGAGTGTGTATGGAGTGCTGCTGGAGCTTAACAAGCTAAAACCCCCGAGCTTGCCATCGAAAGCACCGTCTGACTAGGGCCATCCTACCTGATAGGATTTTGTCTTGCAGGATAAACAGGAGCTGAGTGACTGCTTGGCTCTTTTTCCCCCTCTCCCAACTAATCATTGTTAACTGTTTTACCGTCAAAAACAGTTACATGAATGCGCATGAATTGCAAATTATTGAGCATATTCACAGAATGTTATTCGGCTGTACTAAGGAAATCATGTCCTTGGTAACCTTGCACCAATTTCTCGGTTCTCATCTGCCAACTAGATTATTTTTACTGGATTACCCCCCACAACACACACACACACACATTGCAACATGAGTAGCGATTTTGAAGCTGTAGATGCATGGAACACAAAAAGCTGCAATTATATTCTGAATAATATGGTGCATGTTAGCAGGCTGTTTCATTTGGGACCATGAAAGCCCTTAGAAAGGTCTCGAAGACATGATAAGGTACTATAATAATAATAATCCTTGCACTTGATATAGCACTTTTCATGTCTTCTAAACGTCTCAAAGCACGTCACAGAATATACTGTAAAGTCAATTCACTGTATATTTATGGGCAAAACACAGCAGCCAATTGCGCACAGCAGTGTCCCACAAACAGTTGTGGATTGAGTGACCAAATTATTATAGTTTTTTTATTCAGGATTATTACCCCAGGAAAAGCGATCCACCAATCAACTCACAACTGGATTCCTACTTACTGCTAGGTAAACTTAGGCGTGTGGAGTAAGGAAACTTGTCCAAATTTCGCCCTGCCAGGAATGGAACCCAGGTCTCTCACTTGTGAAGCGAATGCTCTAACCACTGAGCTACAGGACTCCACGTTTGCTATATCAAATGCAAGGATTATATTATTATTTATCCTATCAGCATTTACTACAGTATCTACCCCATAGAAATTCCATCTGTATTCTAAAACTTATTAAAAGTCAGTAAAGAAAGGAGAATATTACTTGTGGGATCTTCAGCATCATTAAGCAAGTAATTTTTTAGTATAGTTGTACCCTTGCTTCAAATAGAGTACAGTTGTATTGGTGACTACAACAACAACAATAACAACAAAATTGCATTTATAGAGCGCCTTTTACATCGGGAGGATGTCCCAAAGCGCTGAACAGTCAGGTGTCGAGGCCCGAGCATGGGGGAGAGGTGGTGTAGGGGTGAGGGAAGGCAGAGAGGTGGGAGGGAGACCAAAGGCATGGTCAAAGAAAAGGGTCTTGAGACCAGCCTTGAAGGAGGCAAGGGAGGAAGCGAGGCAAAGGGACCGTGGGATGGAGTTCCAGAGTGTGGGAGCAGAGAGGCTGAAAGCCCGGCCACCGATGGTAGGCGGGTCAGGCGGGAAACATGGAGCAGGCCAGAGCCCGATGACTACGTAGCTTTTTCATCTAAAGACTTGTTAAAAGAGTAAAAGTCAATATCCAAAGGTTTGTGCCATAATGGAAGTGGGCTGCTCTCATTTACTACAGAGCCTGGCAGCAACTCACCTAATCAAAAAGTCATACTGTGTTTTAGTGAATATTCAGTATAGACAATCTAAAGAACCAGTTGCATTTATAAGTCAATAATTGAACTGCATTCAATACTGACTGAAAAAATGCTGTTCTCTGTAATTGACTGAAAATCTGACTCTTAAGAATAGAAACTGTTCAAAATGGAAGAAGAAAGGTAGGCTCATGTCCAACCTTTTGTCATTTGATCAGAAACTTTATAACCAAAACACATGCCTTGCTCCTTCCTTCCTCTGTGATCTCTTGCTATCCAACAACTCTGTCCACTCCTTCCGTTCTGTCAACTCTGACCTCCATGTAATCCACCAGCAACTGTAGGTGGACGAGTTTTGAGTCATTTGCCTCCATTTTCCAACTCTCCCTCAAAATTCCTCCTCCTTGTGCCAATCTGCTTTTCTCTGCTTTCAAAGCCCACCTCAAAGCCCATCTCCTTACTGTGCCTTTGGCCACCCTCCTACCTCCCTCCCAGTTCAAACTCCCACTGAGACTTTTTTAAGGACATTGAGGTGTTCTATTTCTAAGGTACTATATGCAGTATATGCAAATTATACCCTGCTGACTCCCCAAACTAAAAGCCTTGTTATGGTTTGCTTACAGATATGATCCTAAAACTGATACCTGGACAGCAGTGGCCCCAATGAGCATAAGCAGAGATGCAGTTGGTGTTTGCTTACTTGGTGATCGACTCTATGCAGTTGGAGGATATGATGGACAGTCTTATCTGAACACCGTAGAAGCCTATGATCCTCAGAGTAATGAGTGGATGCAGGTAGAAAATATCATTATCATAACTCCTGAGCCATTTGCAACAAATTAACTAATAATTGAGATTTTAATCTCTTTAGAAAGATCTAAAACCTGAAAGAGAATGCACCATTATTCAGAATTTATTAAAGCTATGTTCTCCTTGTTTCTTTGGAGAGAAATAACAGATCCCAATTAACTCCTGTTGAGCTAAGTAATTTATACAGCTCATAGATCTGATCATAAAACACCTAGCGTCAGAATTCTGCAGAAGCAGACAATTTAGCCTGTTATGCCTGAGCCAGCTAGTGGAATAACTATCCATTTAGTTCCAGTTCTCTGCCCTTTCCCCATACCTTTTATATTTTTCTTTTTCAAATATTTTCCAAGTCCCTTTTAAAAGCCCCTATGGATTTTGTTTTAATATCCAGGGCTGTATTAGACAAGGGAACAAATGTGCAACAAAAAGCAGAATCCTAAATAAGATACCGAGATACACAAATGAATCCTTCTAGTAATCAGAAGTATATCACGTTGGTCCATGGGAATTGCGCTCCAATGCAGTGTCAGTAAATCATTGGGAAATATAATGGGATTTGTTTAAAATCTTCTTAAGAAATACTGCAATTAGTCCCCATTAACAACTCAATTGCTTGTAGCTTTTGCTCAGAAATTGTCAAAGTGGGTATCAGCAGGTTCATTGTATTGTATTAATACAATGAATTCACTGAGAAGAGTCATTACCTTCATTGTACAGGTTATTTTTAGATTTCCATTGTGAATACTTGAAATAGAGCAACATACCATAGAATTTATACAGTTGCTAATATAGTATATTAACTTACATTATTTTATACTAATAATTTTAACCAAAATATTTCTTATGTATTTATATTCAAATCCATTTGTGATAAAGTAATACAGTTGTACTACAAAATATAAAAATAACTTTTGTTGACGTTTGTACTGAAATATGTTAGATTGGTAACTCACTTATTTTCAAAGAGTGTTTAAAGTTTGAAATGTTTTCTTTATCAGGCACAATTACTTTATTGTTCTTTTTCAGGTTGCACCATTGTGCCTTGGAAGGGCTGGAGCTTGTGTGGTCACTGTTAAACTGTGAATTATTTTCATTTTGTACTACAAGTATTCCAAATCTTCATTGGGGCAAGAAGTCCAAGGACGTTTCTTCAGCTTTACTCCAACATAAAGTTATCAAAATAAAATATAGAAAAATGCATTAAATATTAAATTAACCTAAACATATATTTGGAATTCTAAAACTCTATATTATTGGTGATAATATGTTTGAATTCTTGAAGTAGAAACTGTCAAACCAAATCTGTTTAAAGTCACTTTTAAAGTCACTGAAACTCAGGAGGACATAAACTATGGACCAAGTTGTATCTCCTAAAATTTAAGACAATACTTCCCTTTCCCATCTTATTCCTAAAAGCAAAACTAGATAAATGTGGGCCCAAACTATTGAATTGTCATTTAAAATTCTGTTATGTTTTTGTAAATGTTCAACATCCATTATCAGAAACTTGTGTTAGAGACTAAATCAATTTTGTGGAGGTAGACAGAGCCAATTCAATTCAAGGGGGTTACAAAACATTTTTCTGTACATTTTAACAATAGTTTTAGCTTAACTGATTTTCATCTATACTGTTTTAGCTTATTTAACTCTGCCCTTTTCATCAATTCCCTCTGCCCCCATGCTGAAAGGTAGTTCTGTTCTCCCTTGGGGTTATTCTCTATTAGTAAATGTACAGGTCTTGGCACTGTGTGCTTCTAATTTGATTTTTCTCTTGTAAGTGCTCACCACTATTCATGCTATATTTGCACCAGGAAACGAGAGAATAATATATCCACAGCACTAAGATTTCCGCCTCCTCCAGTAGTTTCTGATGCACATCAGGGCTAATTTTCATTTGTCGATAAATTTACCAACCCGGTTGCAGGTGCTTATGTGGTTGATACATTTATTGACTAGCAGAAAATAACCCCCATGAGATGCTATAATTTGAAGGACTTTTAGTTTAGCTTTTGTCTTAAAGAAAATGTTAGATTTAGTTACAATAATGCTCTGGGCTGATAATATTACCATAGACTGGAACATCAAGTTTATCAGCTTATTGATATATAGACCAAGTGCACAATATATGCTGTGTTTAACTATGCTTTTGTCTTAAGTGTTTGAAATGGAAGCTGGAATATAATTGTTTTGGTTGCTTCTTTTTATATTAACCATGTTCCAAAAACACTTTCAGAATTTGTTTTATGTTTGTTATACCAAAATTGCCTTTGTGTTAAAAATAATTAAATGCAAGTATATTTTTAACATGCATGAGAGTTTAATATATGGAAGTCATTGCTAAACATTGTTTATTTGCTTGTAGAACATTTATTTCTGTAACTTCTAGCATTCCACAATGATATTTTCTAAGGAAAATTTAAGCACCTGCTAAAATATTGTCCATTTATGTCCATTATTATTATTATTAAAACCACAAATTATAAACATTGAATGATAGAAATTCTAGTATTGAAGAGGGTCATTCTGCCTATTGAGCTTATGATGTATAATAATCCTACTGTTAAATGGTTTGACTATATTTTGTGGGCGAATTGTGGCAGCCAGTTACACACTGCAATGTCCCACAAACAGCCATGGATTGAGTGACCAATTTCATTTGCTAGAACCTCCACTGAAGCTATGTGCTCTGTTACAATTCCTGTATCATTATTGTTTCCCTTCAAATAGTTCTCCAATTGTATTTTAATTTTCAATGTTTATTTTGTGTGCATTTCACCACAGAATATACAGTCAATTCACTTTACAGTATATTCTGTGCAGTGCTTTGTGACGTCTCAAAGACGTGATAAGTGGGCTATATCAAATGCAAGGATTATTGTTATTATATAGCCACTTATAGCAAAACAGTACTACACTGCCTAATACAAATCATTGGTTAGGCTCCAACAGAAAATCTTCTTTTAATTTGGGGCACCTCCCTTTAAGAAGGATGTAAAGGTCTTGGAGGGAGTATAGAGGAAGCTTCCGAGAATTATACCAGGGATGAGGTATTATAGTTGTGAGAAGAGATTGGAGAAATCGGGTCTGTTTTCGTTGAAGCAAAGAAGGTTCAGCGGAGAACTGATAGAGGTGTACAAAATTATACAAGTTTTGTGAGAAGGTGAATAAGGAAAAGCAATTGCCACTAGCGGGGGAGTCAACGAATAGGGGACATAGATATAAAATAGCCACAGGAAGAGCTAAACTAGCTTATGAGAATATTTTTTCACACACAGCGTTGGGATGTGGAATGCCCTGCCAAGTAAGACGGCAGAGGCAGAGTGTATTGTGCGTTTAAAAGGGAAATAGACAGGTATATAAAAATTAGGGATTTGAAGGAGTGTGGTGATGGGGCTGGGCAATTCGAATTAAAGTACAGCTTTTTCTGATTGCGGTAAAGATTCAATGGGCTGAATGGCCTCCTCCTGCTGGAAATTTCTACGATTCCAAATTTACTGAGTTTGATGAGAGAATATTCTCCGCTGGTCAATCTCACAAATTTATATCACCAAAGATCCATAAATTTATGGAACAGCTGCAATTATTCCCCAGTCTTTGTTTTACTTCTTTTGTTTCCTCTGTGTTATTTGCAGGATCATAGTTTGTTGCAAATCAAAAAGGCCGGTTACCTTGACGTTTTATCATATCTTATTATCACAAGCTTATGGAAACCAATACGTTAGTTCTTATCAGGTTCTTAATGGCGATGCGGTTGGATCAGTAAAAGTTAGTTGCAATGGCTTAACTGTATTAATTGTTGCATATACACACAGCCCTTGTGCTGTGTGTCATTTAAGGGTTGAGTTTGAATTATTTGTTTAAACTTTGTTCATTAAAACTGTTGAACAGTACAGTATTTGCTGGGATACAGATACCAGATGAAACGTTTAAGAAACTAATTTGTTTTTTGTGCCTTTATCAAAACTGGTCACTTTGTTCATGTTGAGTTTCTCTTAAAGAAAACAATGTTTTTTTTATCCCCCATCTGACATTTATTCATGGTCAATTATATCTTATGTAGCATTCTAAACTATAGATTTTGCTGTATATTACTGAGCAGTCATTAAAAATAGCAATCTTTTCACTACTTGTTTACAGTAGAATTTCACGTTATGAAAAGATCACTGCTTTGAGCAATGGAAGTGTAATGGACTTTCTCACCTGCATATTGTTTTAGGCTGTTAAGTCAATTATGTATTCATGCAAGAATAAGTATTGGTGAGGAGTGCACTTCAGGGTTATTTTAGATGTGCGTGACATGCACTGATGACAAGATTATTTGTTTCTCGATATATTGTTGTTGACAATAATTGATTCATTGTTATGCATAACCTATGTAATATTGGAACCCAATTAAACCCATGATCAGTTTTTTGTGGAGTCGGGATTGATCAGCGCATATATATAAAACAGATGATTACCCTTAGGAGGTGTGATGGGCCAAATTTCTTGTACTCGTTCCATGCTTCTCCTGCCCATTTTGCAGGATTAGTTTACATAGGTGATTGCCTCTTGCTACCTTTCCATCTTATCATCAGATGATTTAGGAACCTGATTACTAGTACTCAAGACTAGTATTATTAGCACTTATCAGCAATGGATAAACCTGAATTATTTCTGGAAATTATTCTAGCTCCCTGACTGTGTACACATAGAGGGAAGATGGCTACTCCCAAATGCCAGAGTAGCTCTATTAAAAATATAAAACCATTTATTTTATCCTGGGGCAACTCTATAATTACTGGATTCATCAGTCATAAACCAAGCGGTCTAAAAATAAGATAAATTAAACAGACAAAATATGTTCAATAGATCGGCAGAGCAAAGAGTCTACTCCTGCCTGGGTCAATACAAAAGTCAAATTATAATAAATTAAGTGAGAAATCTGTTAAGATTTTATGAATCATTCAGTATTCATTGCTATATTTTACTGATTCTGATCAAAAAGGAGTAAGACACTTATTAGTAATGGATAAACCAGAATTGTTTCTGGAAAATATATTCTAGCTCCCTGACCGTGTACCCGGAGATAGTGGGAACCTTTCGGAGATAGAGGGAAAAGCGATACGTTTCAGAGGAGGGGTTGCCACCTGGCTACCCCTCCTCTGAGACCTATCTCTTTTCCCAAAACTTTTTTAAAGGGGCACTAAAAAAACACTTTGGGTAGTTACCATCTCCTAACACTACCCAGCAGCTCAAAATGAGAAAGAAAATCTATTAGCTCCACTGACTTACATAAAATTTATCACAGCAACAAATAATTAATAAAACGCAAAATACTGCAGATGCTGAAAATCTGAAATAAAAACAGAGATTGCTGGGAACACACAGCAGATCAGGCAGCATCTATGGAGGAAGGAAAGTGGGTCAATGTTTCAGGTCCATGGCCTTCTGTCAGAACTGGGGGATGTTGGGACCCTTTGTCAGAACTGGGGGATGTCCCAGCAATCTGAACAATTAATTAAAGTATTTGTATCAATGCATACTTGCATTTATGCAGTACCTTTCATGAAGGATGGTTACCTAGCAGTAAGTGGGAACCCGGTTGTTGGTCGATTGGGGGATCATTTTTCCAGGGGTAACAATCCCTTAAAAAAAGTAATAATAATTTGGCCACTCAATCCATGACTGTGGGACACTGCTGTGCGCAATTGGCTGCCGTGATTCGCCCACAAAATACACAGTCACTGCCCTTTACAGTATATTCTGTGAAGCGTTTTGAGATGTCTCAATGACATGATAAGGTGCTATATCAAATGCAAGGATTATTATTATGAAAATTGATTTGCTGGAGTATCTGGAGCCTGGTGAGGGGCGGGGAATAGGTTTGTGCAACCTGCTGCGGGAGAGATTATAAACTGAGTTTTATATAAGTTGGATCTTGTGGAAGCTGTACCTTTTGAGTTTGGAAAGGGAAATATTACAGATGTCTGAGCTGTTAAGATGACAAAGGTGTGGATAAATATTTTAACTGAAGGGAGTGCAGTAGAGGTGCAAGTAGACTTATGTCAGCAATAGAAATAAGCGTTTTGGTCAAGGACCAGAGCTGGGGACGAGCAAAATGTCAAGGTTATGCAGTGGCTCAGCTGGTCCACACGGAACAGTCAGGGAGATTGATGGAATTAGAGCCATAGGCATGATGGCACTGACTGTATGGCTTCTGTTTGGTTCACGTTCAACTAAAGTTGAGGCTCATCTGAAGTTAATAAAATCTCTGGATGTTTAATCTGATACAGATTTTTATTTCACTTCCTGTTGTGCATTGATGGGAATGTCACACTTCCCAGACTAACTCCAGTTTGGTCAAAGTTGGCTTAATCTTTGTCCCAGATCCAATATCAATCTCCAGCAATGATGATCCCAGTAGAATTGACCACTTATTTTTCTTAAATGCAAGAACATTTCATAAATTATTTCAAATACAGTCTCCTTATCTATCCCAATAGAAGTTCTCAGGGTACAGGAACTTATCAGACTAATTTGCAATTTGTCATTCTTAACTCTGTTTAATGAGAGCAAGTGTAATCTATAATATAATATAACAAAATATAATAGTATGTAATCCTGTTCACTAATATGTTATGATTTAAAAACTATACAATATACTGCCAAAACCGGTTGAATTATATTAATCGTTTTCTAAACTGATATTTATTCTACTTTCCCCACTCCCTGTAACTCCATCCTGGAGTCCCTTCGACTTGCTCCCTCTCTCACCTCTTTGAAGCCCTACCTCTGTGACTGCGCCTTCGATTATCTTTCCTTTCCCCACTCCTTCGGTTCTCACCCCCACCTCGAGTCCCAGGCCAGTATTGTTGAGCACTTTGGGACGTCCTCTTGACGTGAAAAGTCCTACATAAATGTAAATTTGTATTGTAAAAGGTGTACATTTTCTAAAAGTGCAGGGAGTGCTGCAAGTTTCCATCCAGTTATAATTTGCAATCAATTTTGTGATTACTTTTGAGAGATTAACAATACTTTCAAAAATGTAAATTTTGGTACTTTAATCAACTGAGGTTTGAAAGTGACCATAAATTAAGATTAACTACAATATCTGGTACGTAAAATATACATGGGACAAGATAATTTTACTTGTATAGTAACTCATCAGAGATGAAGGGAATATTTGCAAACCAGAAGTGTATGTAAATGAAATTCTAGTTTGGTTTAAGGATGCTTTAAATGAAAAATTCCATGTTTATTCTTTGTTTCCCTGACAGTTTGAAGATCTTGTGTAAGAGATTAGTAAAAGGTGTTTGAAGATAAATAATTGCACATTTTAAAAATAAATGCTGTGTCCTGAGTATGTTTTCAATCTCATTGCTGGTTTGGGTAGCAAGACTGCTTGACACAATTTAGACAGTTTTAACCCAAAACAATGTTCAATCATAAAAATGTCTAGCAATTTGGGTATCTTGAGATTTAAATGGTACTGAGTTGCAATTCCTAGTATAAAATAGATCTTGATTATAT